GTCCACACACCATGCCTGCCTGCTCCCAAAAGACAGTCTGCTTCTGATTATGTGTGATCATCCTCAAGCTTGCCAGCTACATTTCAGATTCAGAGTCTTTAAGAAAAAAAAAAACTGGACCTAATTCAAAAGGAGCTAGAGAGACTCTTGTAGAGTGCATCCTCATGCCAAGACCAATGCCCTGTCTGTTTTATAGAAATTGATCTGGAGTCTCACTAAAATTTAATGGGTTCTTCCTTTGCCACGTGCCACCTCTTCATCAAGTTTCATGGAATTCTGTTCGGTTGCTTTTGCACAACGTTGCTGACGGACAAGAAGACAAACCAACAGAGTCAAACATGCAACAAACACAGTGGAAAACATGCTTTTCCTGCTCCATCAGTAAAGAAACCTTGGAGGAGAGTTCATCCAAGGCATTGCTAAGCATGCCCATGGCACCAACACACAGTGATATCACTATCCTATATGCACTCCTTGTCTTTACAATTGATTAGATGCTTACATTGAAATGTCTAAGGCTTAAGCTTTAAAGTTATACATAATTAAGTTTGTGACTGCTTTGACAAACAGGTGGTTGTATCTGCCAGCTTTCTCTAAGACATCATCATCTTTCATCTTAGATGATTAGAGACACTGAACTGGACACCTGCGTTGTGCTTACAAAGTCATTTGTTGTGAGTTTTGGAACAAATACCCGTGTAGTGTCCAGAGTGAAATTCTGCTGGCTATTATTTCATTTAAACGCAACCCCTGATTACTAGAGATTAAGAAGACATGGAAGTCAGAGATAACTGACCTAAAGTCTGTGACAGAATTCAGCAACAACGTCATTCAGCAACAACGTCATTCAGCAACAACGTCATTGATGTTGCTGAATTCTGTGATATAATGGTGGTGATTTAAATACAAAAATTTCACTGCTTTATAATGAGCGGTGATTTACCCAGTAAACTCTCTGTAAATTGCTTTGCTAAGTTCTGGTAGTTTTTATATATAAAAATGTCCCAACATTTACCACATGGTTCTTCTCAGCATAGCATCTATGAAATCAGTACCTATAAAATGAGTAACAATTTCGGAAGAATGTAATTTAAAGTAATATGGGAAATAGTATGGATCAATGGTGCACTATAATATTTATCTATGTGGAAAATTATAATAAAAAAATTTAAAAATATGTATTTTTAAACAATGACTACTAAGCAGTGACCAGGTTACTGAGAAATACGTAGATTTTCCTAGGGCACCTGCATCAAACCTGAACACTGCTATTACCACTTGGATTTAATTTGACACAGAAAGTAATTTTAAATAATTAGGTAACAAAAAGTTATTTATTTCTCCGTTGTTGTAAGAAAAAACCTCTCACTGGTTGTTACATCATTGTTCCACTGTGCTGTCACGTAAATACCTGTAGGAACTGGTTAGGACTTTCAAAGAATGACAAGAAAATAACAAAATTACAACATACATTTAAATAATATAAGCAATATGCAACAGATTACACTTAGATTAAACAAGATTTTGGCAAACAGTTTTTGAAAATGATGTGATATTGTTTTTATTATATTTTTATTTTTATTTTTTTAAAAAAAAGAAGAAAATGGATATTAAGTAAATGTTCTAATGATCAAAATAACTTGACTGCCAATGTAAATGGGAAAGGCCATAATAATCATATGAATATATATACAATATGAACTGTTGTTGCTGTAGGATACACCCATCAACTCCACTACCCAAACTTAGGTAACATCTCACAAGTAAAGCAAGTTTATCCATAGAAAAACATGGGACAAAGACTGTGTGTCGTCATGACAGATAACAGTGGAGAACTACCCAATGTGGTTTGCTGATAAGAGGGGCTACAGTGGGATTTAAGTAAGAAGAAGAAAACTTCTGAAATCCCTCGAAAACAATCTGAGCCTCCAGCAGCTGAAGGAAATGAATACTCGCTGCGATTGTTTTGTTGGCTAATTTTATCATAAAAATGTGAAGAACGGACCTCTTGTTGACTTAACGTTAACCTTGTGTGTGGGCTTTCAGTCTCTTTCACTCTCTCTCTCTCACGCACACACACACACACATACACACAAGCACACACAGGCACACACCACACCTCCCACCTCCTCCGCTGGGATCCCAGGATGAAAGACATCATCAGGCGGTCCAGGAGGTTGCAGAAGCCGGCAGCGTCAACCCTCAATGGGCGGCGCACTGACGGGAGGACGGAGGGTGTTTTCCAACTTTAAAAGCACCGGAGCCGGCCCCTCCGACAAACCGCTCTGCGTCACAGACCTGAGGACATTCTTTAAAACCTTCATTGGGTCGAAGAGAGCAAAACTCACCTTTAGCAGCCGTACCTGCGCGCCTCTTCTAACCCCCTGTTCCCGTTTCCTTTGGTGCGCAGTCCATCGCCGTGTGGTTCAAAGTTGTACACTCGATTTCCAACGAGTCTTTTTGCGAAATATGCTCCTGTTTAGTGGTTTGTCTAGAGAATCAGTGGTGTTTTGAATACTCTCGTTGCACATTACAGCCTCGCAGCCGGTGAAAGTTGCGCATCGCTTGTTGAATGCAGGATACCTTTTGCCTGAGCGTCACTTCCAAGTTCAGCTTTGGAGCAGCAACCGGCAAGGAGCGAGGACTCCAGTTACTTACTTCTCTCGCCGCCGATATGAAGTCTGCAGAAGAAGGTAAAGAACCCTACATGACTGCGCATCACCAGCACTGTACCCCTATATACGTACATATATGTATACATATGTATTACCTCGCTTTAGCTGTTTTTTTTTTTAATTTTATTTAAAGATGTATTGACACCAGGTGCTGCAGTTAATGCAAAAATGGAGAGCGCATCAGGGCAAACTCGGGGTTAATCCTTCTGTGAGATAAGATTACTGAGAGCTGTCACTGCATTATACCCTCATATTTTACGTTTGCAAATTTATAGACGTCTTAAATTATTGTCTAAGCGTTTGTTTTGGTAAATATGTTTAATTATAACAAGCTAAAAATATAAAAATATCAAATTCTAAAGAAACGTTTTGGCCTTTTTGATGGTGTCACGATTTACCTCCCCTTGTTCTATTTTAAAAAAAAACAACGCACAAAATAACACGCAAGTAATACACAAGAAGCAGATAAGCTCAGTTTACATACACACCATTAGGTGTCTCCAGCTATCTTTGCAGGTGCTTCTCATTATGTGCAGTGAAATATGATGGGGGTTACACTGTTGCTGTCACCTGCAGTCTTTGTTAAGATCTTCATGTCAATTTCTCTACTTTACTTCCTTTTTTAAAATGAATAAATAAATAAAAAATTGAAATTTTTCTCCAAATGAGCCAAGTGAGATGTTAAAGTTCAGGGTCAGATAGCCCAGAGGCTGCTAAATATTTTTTACTTTCCCATGCAATCAAAAGCAAACTCTCTATTTATAGCTTTGTGATTCAGAGTGAGAGGGCAAAATCTGATCACAAGTCACTTATAGCCTTAATTCATAGTGGTGATATCACTGGCTTTGGTGGATTTCAGGAATTTAATTTTGTCTCTGAGGTTAGAGAGGGACGGGTGCAGGCGGTATTATTATTCAGTTCAGTCCCTTGATACTAAGCTTTATAATTTGTAACAGATGTGCGTGTATGTACATGTGTTTGTGAGTAAGAGGGAGCACTATGATCTGTGCATGCAGGGATGCTGGGGTAGCTTGCTTGACAAGGAGACGTGCTTAACCACACACAGCTCCAGCAGTGTGGCGAGGGCTGCTTTAGTGTCACACATAAACTCAGACACGCAGACACTCAAACGCGAGCACACAGACACACACAAACACACACACAGAGACCATGCTGGTGTTCTGCCATAGCACATACTCAGCCATGTGCGATAAGTGGCCCCAGAGTTCTTAGTTCCAGAGGCTGCAGATGACTTTTGTGGGCGACCACCTATCTCTCTATGAGGTCCCGTCAGTCTTAGCCCAGCCTAGACCACAATGCCTGCGGATAAACCCGTCCATTCTTTAGTCAGACTAGTTTGGTTGTAGGGAGAGAATGTGTTTTGATCACAATAGCATAATTGGAAAAAAATTGGGGAGTGCAAAGAGAGCACGCTATAATTTGTGTTTTCAAATTAAATCTGCTTGCACTGCATTTTCAGCACATTGCAAACAACCGGGGAGGCACTGCCTCTTGTTAGTGACTCATTTTGATTTCTCTTTTACTCGCTTCACCCCAACAAAATCTGATCTGCTTTCCCAATTTTGTTATTCGGCAGTTGTGATGCATGTCACCCGGAAAAGCCAAGTTTCAAGATCATGCAGCAAACAAGAGTGAAAGCCCTAGTGTGTTTGAGTGGGTGTTAGAAGAAGTGAAGTGTGCTGCAGTGCAGTGCACTGATCACACACATTCAAAAGGAAGGGGGAAAAAAAAACAGCCGCAACTGTAAGCAAAGTCAGTCAGGCCTGAACTGAGGAGGTGTGTCACAAGGGCTAGAGTGGGCAGGAGATTATCATCTGTTCAAACCAGAGAAAAAGAGCATCGGCGAAGACTGAGCTGAATGCTCACTCGCCCTTACTTTGAAAGACTACGATGAGTGGTGCAGAAATGAGTTTTCAGCACGAAGAGCAAGAGTTTGATTTCAACTACATTTTTGAGTACAGCCAAGGTGTCCAGAAGGAAGGGGAGAAAGGTGCGTACTGATCTGCTATTATGACATTGTAATTCTGTGAAGTAGGCTCTAAAGGGGTTTGACATTTAGCCTCTTCTAACCCCGTATAAAAAGTAACTTTTCCAAGTCTGTAGGTTTAGTGAATAAGTGTCTCTTATAGTTTTCAAAAGGACGACTTCAATTTAGTTTGGGTTTCTGTCACAATACATGTGCATCTCCTGGAATATTAAACATGTCCTGCGCACGTAGTGTTACTACCTCTGAAAATAGACTCTCATAAGCTAATTTTACTTTGCCTACCCACATATTTTATGTTGTGTGACAGATCTGTCATTTCATGTGATACGCAGTATTGTGGTTAACAAATATCAAATGGTTCAGAGAGGGGAATGCCCTTTGCTGGGTTTCAGACTGAATGGTTTTATTTCTGTAGCTATTTTTACCCTCATTGACGTTATCAATAAAAGGCAGGCGTGAGGTTTACAACTGTTGACACAGCAGCCACCCGTGTCAAGGCTAACTGAAGAGGCATGCCTGCCTTCCAAGCTATCTGGGCTCTATATTGTTACACTGGACGTGATTTCCTTGTGTACCTGCCTGCACTTGTCCTCTGTTTATGTGTGTACCAGTGGTGTATCTGTGTGTAGCGCAAAAGCAAACTCTCCTTGACTTAATCACATGCTCAGAGCGATGCGAGAGTGCTGTCAGTTTTCCACAGGGGAGGGCCTAATTCACTCAGTGAGTGATGCAATCAATCAAATAAAGCATCCATCAGTGCTGCTGGAGGAATTCCTGTAGAGTACATATGACAGCAGGGTGTGCCAAATAAAGCCTTAGATGAACTGATCAAACAAACAGAGTGGCTGCTCGACTTGCGACTACACAGCAGCCTCATACAGTAACCGCTTTGAGATGATTGCTAAGCTTCTCCAGATGTTTATAAAGAAGTGGGCTAGTCAGAATCTGAAAAACATACTGGAGAGATTTGTGTAGGGGTATTGTTCTTAAATGTGACCAGTTCTAGAAATTACATTCCCTCGCAGTTAGGCTATAGTGTTCTCCAAAATTATGTTTAGTCATAGTGTGTTTCACAAATAAATTTTTTTCTTCAACGTGTTTTCTCAGTTTATTTTTTACCAAGAAGTTTTGCATTTATCCCTGTGGTATTTCAGAAGACTGGTTAACATTGCAAAACATGACAAATTCAATTCAATTTTATTTGTATAGCACCAAATCAAAACAACAGTCACCTCAAAGCTTTTAATATCATAAAGTAAAGACTCTATAAAGAGAAATGCCAACAATCAGACAAACTCCTTTGAGCAAGCACTCGGCGACAGTGGGAAAAAAAACTCCCTCTTTAGAGGAAGAAACCTCTGGGAGAAACAACAGTGACAACAGCAGCAGGGACAGACACAACTGAGAGGGAGCATGAATACATCAGAATTAGATTGTATAGACTGAAATGGAGGGGCTGAGGCAGAGGTGGCTTTGCAAAGTGACTTCACAGGCAGCTGCGACTTTATGCAAGATGAGGTAGTTTAAATAACATGTTCTATTTGAGATTTCCCAATAAGATGGGAATTAACTTAGCTATCCTCTGATATGGGCTGTTTGGCTTTGAGACCACTGAGCTTCACTCCAAGGCCTGCCAGAACTAATGCTATGCTTGTTTTAAAAATGCAATTTAGTTGTATGGGAATATCATTTTTTTACATTCTGAACTTTGCTCAGGAAAGTAACACATATTTGTGATTCTCTGTTTCTTAAATATACTTCTTATTTTTTCAGATGCATACAGCTACACACCAAACGTCAGCCTGTCTCTTCCTCTGGGTATGGGCAGCCCCTGTCTGGCCACTCAGTACCATACCTTACAGTCCAGTCCAGTCATCTCAGTTTCCTCTTGTCACCAGACGGGATACAGCAGTGACAATCATGCAGCATCAGGTTATTATCTGCCGCACAGCTTGAGACCCAATGGTGCTCCAGCCCTGGAAAGCCCCCGCATTGAGATCACTGCCTACAGCCAGTACCCTGAGGATGAGGTTGAAGAGAGCAGCAGTGAGGACCACTTCGTCAAACGGGGGGTCAACATTGTCACACTGACGCTCCCCAATGCAGAGGGGTACCGTGATCCCAGCTGCCTCAGCCCTGCCAGCAGCATTTCGTCACGCAGCTGCAACTCTGAGGCGTCATCCTATGAGTCAGGGTTCTATAACTACGACAACTCCCCGCAGAACTCCCCCTGGCAGTCCCCCTGTGTTTCTCCCCGAGGATCATCCATGCTTCTGTCATGCCCACATGCCAGTGGCCCCGCAGGGTCCCCTCACAATTCACCATCCACCTCCCCTCAAATTGGAGCCATGGCTGAGGAAGGCTGGCCGGCACAACCTCGTGGCTCTAGACCAAACTCCCCTTCCTACAGTGGAGGCGGTGGAGGCGGTGGAGGCGGCGGTGGCAGCATGGGGAAGAGAAAGTACAGCTTCAACGGCACCTCCTACCATCAAACGCCCTGCTCACCCAACCAGTCAGCGACACCCTCTCCACATGGCTCCCCCAGGGTCAGCGTTACGGATGATAACTGGCTTGCCAACACCAACCAGTACACCAACTCTGCCATCGTGGCTGCAATCAATGCTCTAACCACAGATGGGGTGGTAGACATGGGGGAGGGAATCCCAGTCAAGACACGGAAGACGATGCTGGACCACTCAGCCTCCATGAGTCTGAAGGTGGAACCTGGAGGCGAGGAGCTTGGTCCTGATGGAGAGCTCTGCCATGAGGACTACCCCTCCCGCCTGGCCCTCAAGAAGGAGAGCTACTGTGGGGGGTTCCTGGATGTGCCTCAGCACCCATACTCCTGGTCTAAACCCAAGCCTTACCTCAGGTAGGCTGAACCAGCTCCTGCTGTCTCAAATAAATTTAGTAATTCTCTATCAAGTACAGTCTAAATGTTCAGAAATTGAAATAGCCAGCAATTTAGCCAAAAGAAAATTGTCTATGTGTCTCTGCTTAAGACAGAATTATGATCCTAACGCTTGGTCTGAGGGTCAGGATTTTCTACATATTACAATTCATCACATTTCATCAATTCCATTTCTCCATTGTTCTCTTTTCCCCCACATTTATAATGTTTTTTATTTATTGTGAGGACAAGATGGTTTTAGTTTTCAATCTTCAAAAGGCAGAGATTCCAATTTACATGCCCTTCACTTCCAAAGGAGTTCCCTTTGAAGATCAGAACTATTTCATAAATCGTATTTCACATTGAGGAGTTGCCCAGCATGCATGTGCCGCCGTTGCCATCGCAACCCTCACACAAATATAACAACGAATACAGTCACACATGCACACACTCAGACAAATAGACTCTTGCACTGAACAATAGTATTGATTTTTGTCAATTGAGCAAAGCGGGGTTTTTTTTCTTTTTGCTCCCTTGTGGCATTTTTCCCCCCCCTTAAGCCAATAACACACTTTCCTGTCGGAAATCAAGTGTTTGATTAAGATACTGAGCAACAGGAAGCAATGGTGACAGGGCTGGCTGAAGGGGAAGCAGCCTGTGAGTTAATCAGCCGGCGCGCTCCACTGGTTTGTCGCGCCATCGGCCCATCTTTTCTCTGTGTAGCTAAAGTGATGTCATGCACTGAATAGGCAGATAAAGTCCTGCGGGGGGAAATCAGTTCATTTTGGGTCAACAAACAGCCCGCAAGTTCCACAAAGATGCCAGAGATTGGTTTCAGTCGAGCCACTCTTCAGGTCAGGGGTTTGCGTTTACCAGGCATCCGGCAAAGAGAAATATTGTCTTGCACATGTTTGTTTTGGTTTAGATATCTCCACGGTGTTCACATGGGAAGCTTTGACTCCCCATCAGGAGAACAATGATGTTGAGGGAGGCCAGCTGTAGCTCTGAGAAAGAGATATCATGCTCCCAGGCAAGGTGTGTGGCTGACCTTGTTCCATAACACCATTGTCTTCAACACCAGCTTTTTGTATTTTAGAATTTTACAGTTATCAATTTAAAATTGTAATTATATATTATATATATATTATATATATACTATATATATATAATATATATAATTATATATATATATATATATAATATTATAGTATATTATATTATATATTACTCATATTTGGAGGCTGATGTCTATAAAGAAGTGTAGAGTGTGTGTTGTGTGTGTGTGTGTGTGTGTGTGTGTGTGGTGTGTGTGTGTGTTAAAAACAGCCGTGCCATGACTGCCAAGAAACAGTGAGAGATTTGTTTTTGTGCCCCAGAACTGTCTTTCCTCCCACTGTCACTTTCTTAACTCGCTGCGTCTTTTTCCACCTGCCACACCATAATGCAAAACATGCCGCGCTCTAACCGGGGCACATTTGTCTCTCATTTATTTTTCACAAAAAGAAAGAAAAAACAAAGGGGGAAAGCGGGGGCCACTAATTATTACCCAGACCCAAGGAATTACACGCAGTCGGGGGATGACTTCAATTGATTAGATTAGAGACCATGATGAAATGGAGAGGGCTCAAGCCAGTTGGATTACAACAAAGTGTCCCAATTTCAGGCTAATTTAAAGCAAGTTTAGTTTAGATTCAGACTTCTGGATCCTTGGAGGAAAAAAAAAATGGTAGTTCATACTTTGGCAATTAAATGAAAACCAAAATAGAGAAAACAGAATGTACATAAAAAGACAATCATTTGCCATATGTCTTCATTTATTTGTTCCAAGCAAAGTGGAAACGTATAACTCACTGTTCTTTCAGGAAAGAAAAAGCCAGACACTGGGGGTTTTAGCCCAGAAAGGCAAAATCTTTGGACCGTGTAAATGTGAATTCACTATCCTGTTGAAAGGTGGGAATGATACATAGTGTTATTCTCACCTAATAACAATCAATGTGTCATGTAATTACAGCCCATCTTTGCCAGCACTTGACTGGCAGCTTCCATCCTGCTCCGGCCCTTACAACCTACAGATAGAAGTGCAGCCAAAGTCCCACCACAGGGCTCATTATGAGACTGAGGGGAGCCGAGGAGCCGTGAAGGCCTTGTCTGGAGGACACCCTGTGGTACAGGTATGCTGCCAGCACTAATGTTCAAACAACAAATGCTGCTGCTGTGCACTTTTGCATTTACCCAGAGACAAAGTTAGCTTTGTAGTTTTAGACTGTGCAATAATTTACTGTCATTACAGCATGAGAGGTAACAAGTGCATGCTGATTAACAGCAGTTTTCTATCCAACGCCAATCTGGTGACATGAACGTCTGGCTGTTGCTTATTTTATGACAGCATGTAGTCACAGAGCAAAGTCAACACAGCCCTGACATTTCTTTCATTAGTCACAACGTTGATGTTCGTTTGCTTTTTTTTTTTTCTCTCTCGACGAAATCAGATTTGGTTGGTTAGACTGTGTTTAAATACAAACTACTGTATGCGACCGCTGCTCAAACCATCCAGAAATGATTAGCTACAGTAATCTTTTCATGCTGTTTTTGGCAAATCAGATTCCAAATATTGGAATAATGAGTGTGATTTGAGCACAGTGCCTCTATCTGTTAAGATTAAAATGGATCTATTATGATGACTTTCAGCTCTAGCCACTACTAAAATGGATTTGCAAGATTCACAGGCAGTGAACCCTGGTACGGCCCCCCAGTTTACTCAGTATATGAATCAAGCTGTTTTAGCTAACTTCCCTCTGCTTTTGAGCTCTCTTACCTCCCATTTGCTGCTTTGAAGAGCAGATGGATGGAGCTTCTGCACTTACAGATCATTTTATATGTCATTACACAACCAAAGATTATAAAATGGCATTACGGATGAGGTCACTCTATTCTACACACAAACCACATGCACAGAGATAAAGAAAAAAAAAATTAATTTGTCTAACTGGTCAGCTAGCTTAAAAAAATGCAGGCCTTTCTTGTAACTTCTGACAGCAGCTGTGCAGCACTTGCACACTGCAGGCGGTATATCTCAGCATTTTCTTGTATGCTGCGTTTTTAAATGTTCCCTAAAGCTGACAGTGAATCTGCTGCTGTAATAAGTCACTCTGACCAGCAGCAGTGCATGCTGACTGGAGGAGAAGCGTCGCCCCTCGCTATTGTATTTGGCAAACACTTAAGGAGCACACGTCAGTCTCACCAGCGGCACAGCACAGAGCTCCTTTCTCAGCTCCGCTGTCATCACGCTGTGCTGACATCTCAGTTTACACAAGGTGGGGATTTAGTCGTGTGTGCATGTCCTTAAGGTAAACTTGTCTTTGAAGCAGCTTATTTGCATTTAAACTGTATCTATCCTACTAACTATATGAATATTTGCTGGCTCTGTCAGAGAAGGGATTGAATGGTTTTAGATGGCAGATAGCCTGCTTTCCATGCAGCTAGACTCTGCAAGCCTAAAAAAACACACACACAAAAAGTTCCTGGAACTATAAAGTTTAATTGGTGGTCCATCCTTAGCTTTAAATGTTGTTAGCGCCGCAGCTATTTTGTAAATAGATGTTGTCAGCACACCCTGGTCTGCACAATGTCAAATGCATTTGACAGCTGTTGGCCAATGTTGTGTTATAAAGACGCCTGTCAACCTGCAGGTTTTTTCTGTAAATACAGGTAATTATTCCCCTTCTTTACAAGCCTTTGAATATCAACATGCAGGTGAATCAACACTTTACCCCTCACAGTTCACTGTGCTACAGTAAGAGGCCCAGCAGACTCAGGCTCGTTTTGATTTTCGTTCACGTCAATTTCTGACTTGCTCTCTCTCGGGGGCCGAATAGGAACTCATAAATAACACTCCTGAGTGTCTTTACACGTGGCCCTGTCAATATTCACGCTCATGATTTGATTCTGTTATTTAAAATCGCCCATTTAGCGCCAACATTCTGAGGATATTCCCAACCCTCGCTGAGCGCCCTGACCAAATATTATATGAAAATACGATGACAGATGCTTTTCCATCACACCTGCTTGCTTGCTCACATACCTCACATTTTCTTTTCTTGGTGAGGAGTGATTTATGACCCCGATATTGCCTGTGCAGTCAATTGGGATATCTTGAGGGTTTCATAACAGTGGAAACCACTCCGAGCATGGCAGTTGGCAGGAAGATGAATCTATGAGGATTAGGCAATCATGTGTACATGCTGGAGGGTAAAGGATAGAAGAAAAATGTGGTGTTTTTTTTGTTTGTTTTTTTTGAAAACCTGACTTTTTCACTCCTAGGCACTCCCTTTGTCTTTGTTGTGGTGATGTGAAGAAATTGTGTTGTTACAATCTCGGAGGATAGGGCGCGTGGTGTAGTCCCCAGTGCCCTGAGGTAATGAGTGGCAGGCACTGGATGGGTGAAGTGCAGTCAAGGAGAATGAGTCAATAATGACACAAGGGCACGAGTGTAGGAAGAAGCTAAGGCAGTGTGTGTGTGTGTGTGTGTGTGTGTGTGTGTGTGTGTGTGTGTGTGTGTGTGTGTGTGTGTGTGTGTGTTCTTCATGATTCTTGAGACTGGAGAGAAGGAAAGAGAAGGGGCAGAGGGAGTCACCAGGCAGCTGTGGCTTGGCTTGCCTGCCCCAAGAGATGCTCTGTATCCTGCTGATTAGGACCTGAGTAGCCCTGAGGTTGGCTAAGCATGACAGTGGTGCACGGGAGTCAGTACCCATCAGAGGCCACCTCCTCTTTCCATGCACCGGTGCCTCTCTGCCTCCCTGGTGGGCCCGAGGCTGTCACTCCCTGTGAACCGTTCATCCTTCAACCATCTCCCAAATCCACACCAGCAGGCCTACCTCGGTTAAAACCCAGCCATCTACAACTCTATTGTTTTTTTAGGTCATGGATGATCAGACACACGTGCTATGAGCAATCGTGACATGTGTGTTGGAAAGCAGTTCTGGATGAACCCCCCACCCAAAAAAAAGAAAAGAAAAAACAGCAAGATGATGAAAAACATACAGGGATACACAGGTTCCACACTGACAAAGTACTCCGTAGAGAGTGGCTAATATACAGTGAAACCAAGGCGCTCGTGTGCACATTTACTGCTGTCTTGTTTTTCCTTGACACACAAAGGTGTTTATGTGATGGGTGGTTGCACAGAGAATGGAAGGTCTTTGCTCCAGTCATACGCCAATGAAAACCCTGGCTTACCATGACTCGCTAGCCTTTCACCATTTGCACCAACTCGTCTCATCAATTTCCATTCCAAATCAAGGTCATCTATTCTCAAGTCAGACACCAACCCTACCTCCTCTCCTCTGCATCTCCAGCCTTTTAACCCCCTCTCTCATCACCGGTCCACTCTGTGACCCCCGCTGCTGCTTTTCCACTTTACTTACTGCATCAGACCACAACACCATTAAGGGGATCTAGGGTACTCTAACAGTTCCTCTCACACTCTTCCAGACTCTCCCCCTTGCTTTACCACAGCTGTGTTTAATGTCTGACGCCGTGCTCAGGAAAAACCAACAACCTGGTCTACCTTTACTTAAAATATAACCGCAACACTGATTTATTTGGTTGTTTGTTTCTTCTTTTAACTGAGCAGACCATTTAAAAAAGACAACTGCAATTGTAAAGTTTTCATTGACAATAGAGTGACCGATCTAACATGAGTTCAGATCAAGATGTTGCAACAGCTTTCAAGTTCAACCACAGACAGGAAAACAGACATCCGCCAGGCCCTTGGTAACAGCAAACAACACCTGTGAAGAATTAAACCTGTCCTGCAGCACACAGAGTAGAATTGCTTATGGCTAATTCATATAGGATAATCACTGGCCTGTAAGGCTTTCACCCCCCACACACATACATGCATGCATTAAGTTTAAAGCAGTAACACACATGTGTAATTTCAGGATGTGGCCATCATCCCTATTAACGTGTGCGTGACTTAATACTCATCTCTCTTCCTCTGCAACTTTATGTAATGCACATCAAATTTGCAGTATATTTCCGCCATGATGACATGAAAGACTTAAGCAAACACGTGCTCGGGTTTTTCGCATGTGCGGGTTCACCTTGGGATCTGGTCCTTGCTGGCTGCGTAATGTCTCGAAAGAAGAACACCCTGATCTACAGCACTCCATACTGTAGCTGCTAATTGCTCATTAAATCTACCGCCGCCTTATGTTTGATATTCAAAAGGATTGGTGTACCCTGTAGTGCTGTTAGAGCTTAGTCAAGGCTATTATTTGCTGCCCAAAGGGGCATTTATGCCACTCTCAAATTGTGGTTCTCCATCTGCGGGGTTTCCCTTACACTGGTATTGGGCTGCCACTAATTACAAGTTAATAACAAGTGGAAAAAGTTGAGGTTATGTGTACATCGTTTTCACTGGTTTGAGGTGACAACCAAACCGCAGATTTATGAGGTAAGATAAGAGTGGGTAATCTGGCTACTTAGGGGCATAGCAGTGATCTATGCTTCATCCTGCACAAATTTTCTGTAGGCTTTAATGATGGGTCTTATGAATGGCTGATAAAATCAAAATTTAAAACAATGTTATTTGACATAAAATTTGGACCTTTAGTAGTCTAGACATGGGCCTGTGCTCAAAGCTACACCCTCAATACTCGAAGTATTAGTAAAGAAAATAAAAACTTTAAAGGATATAGCTGTTTGGTTGCTTATAAAAGTTGCAGCATGTGAAGCCATGGAAACAGTGCACATTAAAGGATTGCATATGTTGCGTTATGCATTCAATATGAGACACGGGAGACATTAGAGGGTCAGGGGGGCGATGGAGTAAAGTCTGGAAGGAGAGACAGCGTGGATGAGTGTACGTCTAATTGGGTACAGCAAAGGCTGGCTGGTGTGAGTGTGTCAGCACTTGACAGAGAGGAGAGCGTGATAATGGGAAAAAGCCTGCATCTGCTGTTGTAGTTCTCCTCCCCCCTCAACCCCTCCTCTGCTGCTTCCAGTTGTCTTCTCCCTCTCCCCCCCGATTCTCTGCGCCACGTGGACTTCTACGAGTCATGACATTTCTCCAGGCGGTGATGAAATCACCGCAGAGGGATAGAAGGCAGCCTTCACTGCGGGGCCTGTGAAGTGTATTCACACTCAATTTCTAGCCAGGCCAGACAAATCTAATTTACCACCAAGTCATTATTAAACTTTAAATGTTCAAATCCCCACTTTGAATGGTTGCAGCAGCATTAAGAATGTCACTTTTACTAAAGAAGCTGAAGGATAAAATCCACTGTGAAAAATACATTATATTTATTGGAATAAAAACACCCTCTGTCGCTATTTGATCACATGTGACTTTCATTGAAGCAAATAAGAAAATGGGGGGGAAGAAAGAAAAGAAATAAACTGGGGCTGTCTCCCAAGGACTAAAGCTTTCTGTATTGCTGATGGAGCTGAGAAGACCCAAAGGCAGATGGGAGCTGAATGGCGGTGAGCACCCAGAATGTGCCCTCCTCTTCTCTGTTTATCATCACAACTGACCTAGACAATACAGCTGCACACTATTATGCAGTTAATGCCTCAGCTGCCATGGTCGCGATGTTTTACTTGAGTGTCAGCTCTCAGAAATAGGTTCATACAACAAGCTGACACAGTGGCAAAAGCTGGCACCGGGAACAACTGCCTCAATGTAAGACTGGTTTCAGTGAATGATCTCAAAATAAACATATAGTGAGCGTTCAGCCCAATGGGCCATATTTTACAGCAAGAAGAAGCTCATCTGGTCAAAATTAGTGTCTCTCTCACAGACAGCGTCAGACACAAATGCAAAGCTGAGGTCGCAGGTGTTTAAGTTCTGTCTACACAGTCTTGACTCCCCCTGTCTTAATTCCCACTTTGAGAATAAAATGAAGAAGTGAATTTTTCACTGTGCGTGTGGCGTGCAGTTGAGGGAGCATCGCACGAGTTTAGCAGAGGTGAAGGAGTGGGATGGGGGGAGACTGTAGCGAGAGGGTCAGGGGAGCACATATGGTAAAGGAATTGAGTGAGGTCGCTCAGGGGGGATCACGCTGCCTTCGTTTGCTGCTGGGAAGAGCAGCGTCACCACGAGGACTACCTGACCTCATTAATCACTTCCTCCTTTTGAGCGAGGATGCCGCCGCCATTGCCGTGCGCTACAGCAGGATGAGAGGAGCGAGAACCTCCTCTACCTCCCGCTTCTTTTGTGGACCTCGCCACGTGGCGGCTGAGGTAATGTTTTGGAGGTCAAAGAGAAATCCAAAGAAGTCCATCGCCGCAGATGACACGGGCTTGTAGTGCGACTGCCAGCGTTTTATTAAATCACAAGGCAACGTCATGCAATTTAACGCTCCGATGTTTCAGATTTGTACCTCATGCTCCACCGTGGCCCTCCTCTGATTCAATGCGCCCGTAACTGGTAGCATGTGTGGCTATGGATAATTACTTCTGGTGACACCATAAGTAAAATATAACAAGGGAACAGCGTCTGCCGGTGAGATCACTCTATAGATGAAGTGGTCCCTTGAGATGCCAAGACTTCAAGAAGCTCCTGACCTCGGCCTAACTCACTGATGACTAGCATGTGTGACTAGCTCCAGGTCAAGACAGCTGCTAGAGACACTATGGGGAGCTCAAGAGAAAAAATATGATGTTTGGAACTGGAGCTGAATGACAGCCTTAGTCTTACCACTCCCTCCGCACTCCCTCGATATCTGAATCAAAGACCAAGCCAGATAACCACCGGTGCTTAGGTTATTGAAGCATATGGATATATAATCTATTCCCGTGACTGGTCATATTCTATTCCTATTCAAGATAATTAATAATGAAAATTGTGTAACAGAGACCACAAAGAGCACATCCTCTGCCTTGTCTTGCATCCAGCAGAGCTGTCATCAAGTGCCAACCAAGGCCATTTAATCCTTGTCTTTATTATGAGTCCAAATGACTTTTGATACTGTATCCAGACAAATCTGCTCTCAAATCAAAGGCCTTAGGTGTCGATGACACTGTGGTACTAATTTCCACAGACACCCAATCAGGTTCAGAATAGCTTTCCAGTCTTATACCAGTCTTGCTCTTCTTTACACCACCCCCCCCCCCCCCCCCCCCCAATTCCTGCCTGCCCTCTCAAAGGTAATTATAAATCCATTAATCAGATTATGTCATAGGTTACATGTGGTCTTCATTTCATTATATGACTCAGTCTGTTAGATAAACAACAGGGGTCTTTTATTCCATTTGACGTTACCACTGTTTTCACTCGGATGGAGCTCAAACAAAATTGGTCTGAAGCGGTGCGCTGGAGTAATTGACCAATTTGTGGGATTTTTCAGATGGTCATGGCTTGTTGAGCCTTGGTCTTAAGTAACTGATCCCTCACAGTAAACGTCACATGCGGTCAAGTAGCCACCTGGGTGGATCTGTGGAGGTCCACCCGATCAGAAGTTAGGCTTTTTGGGGTTTTATGTATACCAGATGGATTCAGCGGCTTCTTGATAGTGTTTAGGTTTGGAGAGATTTCTAAGCCATAGGAACAATTTGCATTACAAAGAGAAACTATATCCTGGGAGGTCTTTGGTGTTAAGACTCGGCCACGCTAGAAATAACTTGGTTAGTGGATTATTCTGGTCAGAAATCATTCACAAAGTATCAGTTGCCCTTCACCACATCTTGGAATTTAAAGCATTGCCTGCATTTGAATGTTTTTGAGCCATTACACACTTGGTTAAATGATCGAATGATGTTACTTTAGACACAGACAGAAAATTATACCGGGACATTGAATTTAAATTGGCAGTTACAGTTTATATTTGAAGTACATTTGAACCCAAATTCAACAGTGTGCACAGGCATGGATTATTTTTCCTTTTTTTGAAGATTTGATCTTTTTATTAGCTAAGCAGTAGCGGCTAATGGCAGGCTGCTAGAGGAAGTGGTAGTTGTTTGAAGTGGTGGTTCTGATACAGGAGTCTCTTTCATCACAGTGGGACACAGTCTGCGCTCTTTAATGGAAATCATAATGCATGTTCATAACTGCCCAAAGGTAAAGGGGCTGGAGCACGTCTGCACTCCCTGCTTCATGAGCATTCAGGCGTAAAGTTTTAATAAGTGTAATAGCTAACTGTGTGTTGATAATCATCACAGAAAAACCATTGATTTGTACTGTTTATTTATTTATTTTGCACAGTTTAAGTAAGAGTTTGAGTTTTAATTTCATCTATTTGATGCCCTCCGTTATACTGGAAACCTTTTCCCAGTCATCTCCTTAAGTATCAGCTGTGAAACTTTTATCAGTCTTTGTCTCTGTGTTTCCTGCTCAAACACCCAGAAACAATAAAAAATCTTTTGATTTCTCTTCCTAAAGGAATGTAGAAAAGAATTCAGAAAAGAACAGCAGACCACTGAGAGAGAGCCTCCAATCAACCAGAAAAAAACAAACAATGAAAAAGAGCTCATGTTCACAACTCTTCTGCCTGGTCAAAGATATCAATAAAGGTTCCTTTAACAGTTGCTAATGTGCGTCCAGTCTCGATTTCCTAAATGAGGGGTTGCCTGAGATGGAGGTCTTAAAACTTGATGTTGCCTCTTACCTGGGTCTCTTTGTTCTCTTGCCAGCTTTATGGCTACATGGAAAGCGAGCCGCTCACCCTGCAGCTGTTCATAGGGACCGCAGACGACCGCCTCCTGCGACCACATGCCTTCTACCAGGTCCACCGCATCACGGGCAAAACCGTCTCCACCGCCAGCCATGAAGTCATGCAATCCAACACCAAAATTCTGGAGATCCCTCTGCTGCCTGAGAATAACATGAGAGCTATGTGAGTGCTATCCACGCTTTCTTCCATTAACTTCAAAACACAAGCAGAAATGTGCACAATCTCTTTCTTTCTGCACCTTTCTCTTTGTTATATCTCTATAGGATGAGAATGCTTATTGATAAATATTCTTGAGCTTTCACTTCAAAACAGGCCTTCAAATTTGAGTTCCATGCTTTTACCCCAAGAGATGCACAAACGTTAAAGAAAAAGCAAGCGCCGAGTTCATGGGTGCTTTAATTCGGCCCAGTGTGGATATGGCCAGTTTGGCTTGCACTTGGAGTGCTGTGATCCACCAGAATAATGTGGTCCCGTTACACTTGGCTTGGTCAACATATTCCACCGAGACAAATATATGAGGCGAGTTAGAACATCCCAACTGAACTAACAAGTCTGCTGAAAAGAATGATTTGGGCTTGGAGGGCAATTAGTCACATTCATGTAGCCTGCAGTACCCAAAGCAAACAATAACTTTATTGGCCTGTTTGTATTAAGACCATAACTGCCAATTCTGATACCAATTTAGCAATGTCAACTGATTACTACTAAAATAAGCAAATTTAAAATTAGAAATGTATTTTGTATTGTTAGTTTTGTATTTTCAATTGTTCCTTGACCAGCTGGCTGGCGTGCACAATGAAAAAACAAAACAAAAAAACAACAAAATGGATCCAACCATCATGGAAGCCACTTTATGCACACCTGTGTTTTTCTAATGGGTCAGAAAGTCTTCTGAAAAATCGACATCATCATTTGCTGGACAGCAGTGGCCGTCTACTGCACCATAACCAAACAGAAACTTCTGGAACAGAGCTATGTCAGTGTCATTCGTGAAGCAGCTGGCGCAACAGTAGTCTTTCACTTTAATGAATGAAACTCGTAGATCTGCTCTGTAAAGTTTAAGTTAGGCCGGTCATCTTATATTTTAGTCGTTTTACACCGTAAAAAGTTCATAAAATGGTTTATTTTTATGAAATTAAACTGGACATACATAATTTCATGTATCACATATCACATATGTCACATAAACAGTGTAGCCAAGAGATAAAAAACAAATAGCTTTTTTTAAATGACAAAAAGTGTCATAAGTGTCTGACCTCAATGTTCAGACTCAAGGACAAAGTTTTGCTGTACTTGCCTACTAAGTCCACGAGGTTTTGGGGCAACACAGGATTTCTAGAGAAAGTCTGGAGGCTGTTAAATAAAAAATAAAAAAGATGGATAAAGAACTAATCTTGACACTGAAGGGGAAAAGATAGGCCTAATCTAACATTGGTAAATAATAGAAAGTTGTTTGCTTTAGCATGGTGGCATGATGATGATTCATCACATCTGATCAAAAGTTTCAAACCCAAAATAGTGTGAAACATGTTTCAGAGTCAAGTCAAAATAAAGTAAGAGAGGGTTTAGTGATTCGGACTTACAGTGGAGACCAGGATTAAGTCTTTGTCACCGAGCTGCTGGATGATACGAGCAAGGCAAGTTTAAACAGTTTACTGCAGGTAACTTCTACCATCTGTACTGATTAACATAAAAACGGGGACCACTGTCTAAAATTCTGTGCTGCAGGTGGACCAAATTTACAGCTTAACTCAGCATAGAAGAAGCACTGAATGAAACAAAAAAAAAAACGAATCACCTATTTATTCATAGCATTAAAAAATCGATGTTTTTGATGTCGTTTTACATGTAAACTTGCTCCATCTAAAGGAGCAGAGCATCTGTTTTCTAGGGCTGAAAAGTCAGGCTCGGGTTCTGTCTTCCTCCCTCTAGACTTTCAGTAAGCCAACGGCTCTGCTCTGCAGTGTATCCAGGCAGTAGCTCCTGTCCTGGGGCTCCGTTTAGACTAGGCAGCAGTGAATTTATTGGACTGTGGCCCAGAGCTGTGTGTTGTTGGTAAAGCTACTGTATCTTAGCACAGGTTACATAAGGCAATTACCTCTTACTGTTTATTCGTCACCATTTAGACTTTAAGTGCATATGTGTTTTTAAATGAAAAGCATATAGGTGATGCATCTCTATGACACAGGTTCATGTTTGTATAAATGTTGGGGATCATGAAGATTTATGGGACATGAGAGTTTCCTGACCGGACAGTGGCCTTCTTTGGCGAAGCGTAGATGATTTTAACATTTGTATTACATTACAATATCATTTCCAACAATACCTCAATATCCTTCATATTGTAGAATATTAAAGCATACTGTTGGCCTGTTTTGCTTAATGTGTCCCCTAGGCTATGATTTTATACCAAACCAAACGTTCAAGAGGAAGTTTTTTTTTCTCTCTTTTTATCGTCAGCGCACAAGAAGAGGAGTTAACGTTTTGTATTTCTTCCTGACTATCTAAACAGTGAAAGATGGAGAAAAGTCTTTAACTTTCTCTCTCCACCAAGCTGTTAAAAAGTTGCCTTGATAATGCAGAATCCATCTCGCTGTGCACACGCCAGCTATCATTTGTGTGGGATGCAGACACTCAAGAACTGCAGTCAAACTTTCAGAAAGCTTCAATCTGTTTTTTTTTCCCTTTCCGCTTCTAAGATGTTTTATCTTCAAGCACACCAACCACCTCTGCAGATTCTAACTACTATAACCTAATAAGCGAGAAAGCATTCATAAGAGGATGACGGTTATGACTAGAGTAACTTTATTATGCCCATCATCTTGCTCTTGTTTAAAACCACAGACTGGTGGCATATTAGTAGAAAGCTGTGAAACCTTGACTCGTATGCTGAGTGGATCTGTGGTGGTTTTCATATGCTGTCATTTGGTCATCTTGTCTGCTAAAAGGGAATGGTTCATTTGAGTGATCACCTTTAATTCTATAATGCAGTGTTTTTCTCCTGATGAAAATGGTGCGTTTAACGTCCCAGTCGCTGGTAGATAAGGGCTCACTGAATAGTTTGATGAGCTTGAAACTGATTTAGGTCGTATGCTACAGCTTTTTTATTTATTTTTTGCTGTCACTACATCTTGACCTATAGTTGCAGATGTGGATCTAGTAAATTTGGGCAAAACATCAAGTTTGTATGTTGATAATCCCTGTGGAATTGTAGGCTGTGACTAATATCTGCAGTCCCTCCGCTCTTTCCTACCATGCTATCTGCAACCACTGCAGGATTTTTCATAGAAACAAGGTTTCTACTGCCACAAGGGTTTGTTTAAAATCCAAAAGATTTGGTTTAACATATTTTAACTCTGTCTAATATGTTTGGGTTCGTTATCTTCTTTTTCCTCAGTGTCAGTCGATCATTTCATCTAGATTTCCATAGGTTGGTTAGCAGACATACGGCATCCTAAGTTTCTGATAGTGCCAAATTGTCATCATATGTTATGTTAAAGTGCAAGATAGTTAGAACACCAAAACACCAATCCTTTATGTTGCTCGTTTTTCAGTGCTGATAAGCAGCGGGTAGTCAGCATGACTGTATCTGTTATTTTTCTTTTCTTTGAATTGTACAAACCAAAGTCAAGGGAAAAATGGATTGGTATAAAACCTGACATTTACCATGTTCCAGGAATCGCTCCCAAAAAGCTACCATGTAAAATAATTTAAATGCCAAACCATATCCCATCTGTATTCTCTCACTTTTTACCAGCCACACTAGTTTTATGTAAATTTATGAAAGGCCATGCCTGCGAATGAATGCCCTTTTTCCACTAAGAAAAGGGAAAGAAACTCTACACCTTTACCTCCCAAATTGTGAAATGAAATAAATAAAGAGAGACAGCTTAAAAAGGGGGCTATTAGCACATGTGGCAATGATTAACAGCAGTTTTAAACCCAAAACTCATGAAGTGAATGGTGTGAACGGACAAGGCAGGCTCGGTGTACTCCTACAGAACGTGTGTGATACTGGTAAGCCATGGTGCGCTCAGTCCAGATTTCTCTGAATACTTGGACCACTCTGGCCATTTAAAACCGTGATGCAAACTCATTAATGTCCAACTTTTCCTTTGATGACATGCTGGATTAATAATGACACGGTCATGCTCCGATAAACTTCCAGTGCATGATCTGTAACACCAGTGGGGACTTCACTGCTGGTCCCGATGCGTAGCAGCTATTTTCGATTTCACAGCCAAGAGTAAATCAGATAGGCTCCTGTTTCAACCCTTGGTCGCACTTTTCCATGCTTTTGCATCCCGTTGAAAGCTGCCCTCTGTGACTCAGGGTGTGGAACAGAAGAGAAAGAAATTGGTGCTTTCTTGAAATGTTGTAATAGAAATTGTTCTGGCTTGGAAAAAGTAAACAGTGAACTTCACCTTTCCGTCACCTTTGCCTGTGTAATGTTGTCTCGGGGATATAGTCTTCAATTGTGCGTGTGCTTTTCTCCATTCTAGAATTGATTGTGCGGGAATCCTGAAGCTGCGTAATTCAGACATTGAGCTTCGCAAAGGGGAAACGGACATCGGACGTAAAAACACACGTGTGAGGCTTGTGTTTCGCGTGCACATCAACCAACCCAATGGCAGGACCGTGTCCCTACAGGCCACTTCGAACCCCATTGAATGCTGTAAGTCTTACACACACACACAGACAAACACACGCACAGAAATAAACACAAAACCTGGCATGTCTTTTCTGTTGGCTTTGCACTCAGGTGGCATCTATTGTTGTAGTCCAATAAAGTGAGCTACTATTTTATTGCCTACTGGAGCAAATTCAGTGCATCTGCACCCAATAAGCTTTATTTGATCAAAGGTCTTTGCCAAAGCAATAGATGCATTGTGCACGATGCCAAACACACGTGCTATCTATCTTAAATTCACATTTTACGACTGAATGCACAAGTTATTTTGGTAACACTACCCCATTAGCGCAGGTTTCACAAAGGTCGTTTGCCAGCCCCACTTTTTGGCACGGTTGAGTGAGCACATTGAAAGAAACCTCTGTTCTCTTTGTCATTCATTTGTGTATGAGGGGTGTGATGTTATTTGCTCCCAAGGAAGCCAGTTAGACTCAGATTGTGAGACAGAGCTTGCGTTATAGTTTATGGTCCAAAGTGGAGGTTAATCTGAGTTGGTGCATCATATTTAAATGTGAAGTTTAAAGTTATTTAAAGCACAGATTTATAAATAAGATCCACAGATGCAAGGTTATACTGTATATCTATACGGCTGTGAATGTGGTGACCGAATTCTACAGGTCAGAGGTGACTTGCTGGCATGACTTCATGCAAAGCAGAGGCAGGTGGTTGGCCATAACAACCATGAAAATATTGTTTTGATCATTTGTGCGCCTTTTTTTCAATGTCATTTAAAGAGCAGCTGTTGGCTGCAAACCTCTTAGCTAGGGGGTCATGAAATCATCATAATAAAGTTGATAAGCCTGTTTCCCTAACCAAGAACTGCTGTTTTACTGGCTGTGAGCTGGGCTTGTGCTTCCCGGAGTAGTTGGGGATCAGGCGGTGTATTAGTGTAATCTTGCGCACCATTTTGAAACCTGTGTTTGTGTGTCTCTTTCAACAGCCCAGCGTTCGGCTCAAGAGCTTCCCTTGGTCGAGAAGCAAAGTATGGACAGTTGCCCTGCCACGGGAGGCAAAATGATACTTCTAAACGGACTCAACTTCCTGCCCGAGTCCAAGGTGGTATTCGTGGAGAAGGCCCAGGGTAAGCTGCAGTCACCGGGCCATGTTTACCGCATTTCAATTTCCCTTTTTAATACCCCTTTCTTTTCTTTCTCCCCCACTCTCATCAGTTGCATTTTCTTAGTCTCTCCTCCCGTCAAAATAGAGCAAGACTTGCCAGCGAGCCACATGTGGTGTGCATTAGGCCACTATATTTTTAACCAAAGCGTATTTACATTTGCTGAAGTTTCCATTGCCTGTTCAGCGGCGCTCGCCACAAGTTAAGGAATGAATCACAACCAGGGCATGTGCAACGTCTCTTTCTCTCACTTTCCCTCTTTCCCTCGCTATCCGTACCTCCCTGACTCCCCCTGCTTTCGACAGTTAACCCTTTCGCTCGCTTGCTTTCCGTCACTCTTTCTTCCGCCCTGTTCTGCCAGACGCTCACCCTGGCCGGCTGTCGGAAACCATTTCTTTCTTTTTCTTTTTCTTTTTTTTGGTCTAAACTTTTTGGCCATATGTTTCTCCCCTGTGTGGGTGGGTTGTGAAAGTAGAAACACTAGTGATCAGGTTTTCAGTTTGAATAATGATTGTGATCATTTCCTTGATTGCACCCTATAAATCAAAACAAAGGTCAAGCGCAGTAGTAGCTCTGAAGTCAGCTGAAGCACGATGTGACTGCTGCCGCTGCTGCTGCTGAGCAACACACAAACTAAGACAAGGGAGCAACATAAACAAAGTTGTGAGAATGAGATAATTGTGTCTTCCAGTTCATTAACCATGAATTTCAAAATTGCTGAAGATTATCACACTTAATCCACACTTTCCAAAACACTTCACACTTCTGCCGTAAAAGTTAGCAAGTGGTCAGTGAACGCAGAAATAAAAAGTGAATCCTTTATTTACTTATTTTCCTCAAAAAGGTTATAAAAATAAAATTCAGTCTCAAAATTGGAAGGAAGAAAGATTTTGTTACTCTTCACTGCATGGATCTCTCCCTACTTGCCCCTAGCTTGTTTGAATGGTCTACTCTTAAGGACCTAAGGGCTTAAGGAGGAAGCAGCAATGGGTTAAGGAGAGGTGGATGAACTTGGTAATTTGGGGTATCCCTTCTCCTGGTTTTATTTAGTCATGGAGGGGTGTGGGGGATCCCTTGAAGAGGAAAGCCCATACATGCACACCTTTTGCCTTCTTGGTAGTATTTCCGTTCTTTCCCCACTCTCTTTACCTTGATATTCCGTTTCCTTCTTTTCCTCTGTTCTCCCTCATCCCTCATTTTTTCTCACCTCTATCCCCGATACCCGCTAAAGACATTAGGAGCTGCGGAGCTCTACGCTAGCGGGATCTCCGGGCTCGTGGCTGCCATTGACATCTCGGTGGTTTGTTTTCCGTCTCTGTGGTGTCCAGAAGGGAGAAAGAGAGAGAGAGAGAGGGAGATCGAAAGGGAGGTTGTCTGTCTACTACTTAGTCTGCTTGTATGTGAACTTTAATGACCCACCATTTCCAGGGTCTCCTAAGTCAAAAAGCCCATTACAGAAAGACCTACACACCCTAAACACACGTGCGCAAGCAGGAACACACACATCACTCACTAATGGCAACTATGGACGAGCAACTATGAGCACGGAAAAATACTTATGTCTTAAATATACTGCAAAAGATTGTCCTTTGGCATTTTAATCAGAGAATCCTGCTGTTTTGTGAAGTTTTAGACTTCAGGATTTCTCCGATTGTTGATTTAGAAGGGCCAAACTGGGATGAGGAAAAAAGAAACCAATAAAATTATAATTATATTACAGAATTATTCTATAACTTTGGTTTTATTTTCCTCTGGAAAAGTTCATGACTAAATGCATCCATGAAATACAGAGCATCGCGCCGCAATAATTACACAGTCATGCGTACGTACAGCCAAGGCCTTTGTGTGGCACAACACCAATCACTGATTTTGCCTCAGTGGTGACAGCCATTACTGTTGCTGCCATCAGAGGTCAGGACGGCTGCTCACTCTCCAAAATTGACTCCAATAAACACCTTCAAGAAAATTCCACAAATCCTAAGGAGCAACAGGCTGCTTTAGGAGTACCAATCCAACTTGTGTGAATAACTGTATACAGTCAAAATCCTCCAAGTGGAGTGAGGGGGCAGATCACACAAAGCACAAAAGCCTATTAGCACAAATGAGCTATAAATCATAAATACATCTACTTCTCTAACTGTTTCCATTTGTTGTGGTTTTTTTTGTGCAGGCTGTAGCTGTTTTTGGCATACACGCAGATGTTTTTGAATTGTCTAAAACACCAACGCAACAAAGACAGATATCAATTAATTACAGAGCTCTGTTAGGGGATGCCATCAACATTTGAGAGATTTGCTGTTTGCAGTTTGTGGTTAAATGAGGACACCAGTGACACACAGACATCCAGTAGTCTTTAGAAAATCATTGGCACATGTGGCCACTGGCATTATCTTCTGTACAAGGAGCAAAATATTATGCCGTGAATACACAGTAATACATCCAAGAGCAAATGATTGTTTCGTACAACAGCATAAATAAATAAATCAGACCCACATGTACTCTTAAAACATAGCGCCGCTCTGTTTGTCGACTTTAACCTTCCTCTCCTTCTCTGTTGTTTTGATTGTCTGTCTGTCCCCCCGTGAGACATCCGCAGTATCAAATGAGCAGAGCTCATAGCTGTTGCCACTGCGGGAAACCTTAATGCACCTTGAAAAATAATTACTTCTACTTTTTAGATGCCATGTCCATCCCCACTGCTCCACTTCATCACCCACAGGATAACTGATGCAAACCGGTGCATTCACGTGTGTACAGTATGTGTGTGTGTGTTTGTTGTTGTGTACCCGCTGTGGCTGCTAGCCTGCGGGCCTGTTTGCGTTGTTCGGTAGGAAGTGTTTGCAGTGAGTCATCCACAAAGGATTCCCTGTAGAAGAGGTGAATCGGAAAAGACAAGACCCCTTAGACAGTAGAGAGGGGGGAGAGGAATAGGAGGTGCAGAAATGGGCGGGGCTTCCGTAGAACTCTTGAGATATTGGCGCATAGAAATGATCAGATGTTATGGTCCAAAGTGGACTCGAAGACCACAGATCACTTTCCACACACCCCAGCGAAAGGTTTTCTTTGTTCATGTGACTTTTGTATGTATGGTTTTGCTCCATCAGATAGTGCACGATATTCAGACTGTAGCAATATAGGTGCTCGTCTTCTTTTGCAGTTTAAAAACTCCTTTCAAGAGTAATTTTGTTGATAGTAATAATAATAACAATCTATGTCATTTTTGCTCTCTGCTCAGCACAGAGTAGTGCCTTTCCCAGAACCACAATATGGGCATTTGTGAAACTTTCCATCTTTTTTGCATTGTTGACTTTGCTTCAGTTTTCTGTTATTAGTATTGCGTTTTGTGTCTGTGTTTTTGGTATACCCAAACCGCTCTTTTGGCATTGGATTAGGAAGACATACCTGGCGCACCTATTGCAATGTGTGTTCTGGCTTGCCCTGCTTTCCATGGATGGAATGAGTGCTAAAGGCAGGGAAAATAGAGGCACAGACAGACAAACAGAGAGAGAGAGGGAGAGAGAGCAAGCTGGGGAAAGCCTACACTCTGACTCAGAGGGGAGGTAAGGGAATTCCCTGGTGAGCCGGATAGTTTTTACATCTGGTAGGACTGGAGCGTTGCCTGGAGCTCAGCAGCACCATGCAGCCTGGTCTGCAGCAGGGAGAAGTCTGGTCCTCTCTACCTCTGCCTCAGGCTGGAGTGAGGCTTCTTAGCTCTAGCATAATCTGTAACTTTAGAACAACATGATCTACTACAGTAAGCTCGAGCTAATATTCCTCATGTGTAAAAGCTCCTCAGCATCGGACTGAAATGTTTGGATATTCATACCTTCATAGTTTGAAGAAGGCTATGACCTGAACTGCTAAGAGTTCATTCATGCACTGTTTATACTTGGCTGAACTCTTCCACCCTGGGCAAGTTTAAACACCAGACAAACTGGTCGATGTATTGTACTTGTAGCAGTATGTCTAGACTGTCCTTTGGCTTCAGGCTAGAATAACCTTCATGGCTCATACTGGCTCATAGTTCTGGCACTTTGGCACGATAAGACCAACCTCCACCCCTGCTTCAGGCATGAGATTTGGGATCTTACTGTCTCATTAGGATGGTATACTGCCGTCAATTTCAAAATCAGTAATTATTTATCACTGCTAGAATGGTTTAAGCCAGCGGTCTCCAACCTTTTTTGCGCCACGGACCGGTTCTTGCCCGACAATATTTTTACGGACCGGCCTTTAAGGTGTCACAGATAAATACAACAAAATAAAACTAGTACCGGTACCGAAAAAAAGAAGATTTATTCATAACACACGTGAAAAGACCCAGGAAAACTGAGTTAACGATAAAAACGATAACAAAATAACACTGAAAACCGATAAAAACCCTGAAAACCATACATTTCACACCTGAGCCTCAACTTTCGCGGCCCGGTACCAAACGACTCACGGACCGGTACCGGTCTGAGGCCCGGGGGTTGGGGACCGCTGTTTTAAGCTCTCAAGCACCTTGCTAGAAGAGCATCATGAGGAATGTGTGAAATGGAAGTTTCTTATCCGCAGTTTAAAGCTATATTTGTGCAGTGGCTTTGAGAACATCTATACATCAAAGGAACCAGTTGTGTGATAGCAGAAAAAATGTTTACATTGTCCTGTGGCCTCTACACTTCTCTTTAGACATGTTTGAACATGTAATTGCCAGAAGAGTCTCTCGAACTGTGGAAAGATGGCCATTTTTGTTAGGGAAACATCTTAATATCCCTCCAGTTGATTAGAATAGTGATATACCTTAATGAAATGTGGCTCACTACATGGGTCTTTATGACCGATTTGGCTGCAAGCTGTTGGAGCGACCCTGCTCTGATATATCAAATGATCATCTACCTGCATTCTTTTTCACCATTCGCTCAGTTTCTAAGTGCGGTTCTCGCTGTGACTCTTGCTAGGCTGTGAAATAACATGCAACACACCATTAAGAGCAGCAAGCTTTGATGTCTTTCTAATGCTATCCACTCTACAAATACTATCCAAATGTACAAGTGCAGATGATCCTCCCGCCGTCATTCTGAGTCTTCAGATCATTTTCAAACTCAGCGCCACACAGCTGGACTCTTAAAAAGAAGCATAAAATTTCACTCCGCTGACCGCCATCCTCCTCAGGCTACAACCCCAGGTCACGTCGGCTCACGCTTTCCCTGTTATACACCGAGAATAACTCACTTCCTGGCTATAAACCCATCATAAATCTACTGTCAAGTCGTAATTTATACGGAAGCCCCTCGATCTGACGCAGACCCACATTTCTCCAATTTCACCAGGTCTTAGATTGGCAGAATCCAGTCGCTCCAGACGGGAAACGCAGCTGGGATCAGTCATGGTGGAATCCCTTTTGGGCTTTTTTGGCTTTGCGCCTCATTTGGGCAACAAGGCGAATGCCGTGAAAAATGTGCATAAAATTACTGAAGCATTTTCATTCAATGGGCAATGGAGACACAATAAAATGGAAAATAAACTTGACATAGGTAAACAGGAAAGAGATATAAATACTCTAAAATAATCTTCTCTGGAAAAGAGACGTAGCTGCAGAATATGTCTGGGTTGTTTCACAAGACAACCTCCGCATTTAAGCGCGTGATTCATAGTTTCCATTCTCAAAAATCCTGAAGTGAACTTGGTCAGTGGAAGCTGTTTTGCACTACACAATGCTTTTTGGAAGGAAAAAAAAACCACCTTTGGCTGTCACTGTAAAAAAAAAAGTTAAATTTAAAAAAGGAAAAAAGAAAACGCTCAAATGCTAAAACCTGTGAGTTCATTGGGAGGTCAGATACACTGTTACTCAGCTATCTAGGGTTCTTAACTTGGGTAGGTAGTAACAAAAGAAGGACTATAGTATATAAAACTAGAAATAACACAAATGAAAGGTTTGGACTTTATGAGGTTTTTTACAACAGCAAGCTCTGTTGCCAGGTTGTCACCAGGCAGGTACACGATATTGTTTGTTGTCAGGAACTGAAGAAGAAATGACTCGAAGAAGCCTCACCCTACGTGCTGTCTAGCTGCCTGATGAATGAACATGTTGTCCTGGTTGTGCAGTGCAGTGCTAGTCTTTGTGGACCAGATTTGCAAGAGTGAGTCATATATAGAAAAGCTGCCTGGTTAACATTTGAGCACAAAGTCTAAAAATAAGCGTGCTTCCATTTGTCCATGTGCATGCATGTGTTCATTCACTTCTTTGTTTGACCAAGGCAAGATTATGCCGTACCTAGAGCTCTCCAGACACAGCTCTTATATGCCACTTATTGTTTTTGTGCTTCCCCTGTTATAATTCAAGTTGAAGGCCAGAACAAAGGTAAAGGATGCTGTGGTTGCATGTGTGCATATGTGTGCATCGGTGTGCGTGCATTACGCGTGGGTGGACTTTGCTTGAAAGAGGAGGTGTTGTCAGGAACAGAAGCGTTTTGCAGATGTTGCAGGGAAGATGGAGAGAATGGAAAGTCCTGTGGTTATCACCCAAACAGCATGCCACAGGTGGCCCCATCCCAATTCCATCAAACTCTTAGCTTTGCTTCATACGATGCAGTGTGATTTGAAAAAAGTTTGACAGAACAAACTGATTTAGAGCTACCAAAGGTGAGACAAAAAAAAAAGATCAAGAGGGAGGCAGAGAGAAAAGTTTGAAAAACATGTTTACTAGTGGAGGCTGGGGTTGACGTCGGAGTCTAAGGTTTCCCTCTTGGAGTGTCTCCCAGAGCGGAGGCGGGTGAGATTCCCTCTTGGTTCCCCTAGACGTAACATGAGGAACGCTCATCTCTGTCTGCCTCTGTCTCTCCCCTTTTCTCTGACCTTCCCTGAGCCTGTGCTTGCTCTAATCGCCCTTCCATACTCTGAACAACTACACTGCATTACCTTTGCCTCATTCTTTCATGTACCTCAATCATCTGCCACATGCACAGGATCACACACTGTGCCCCCTGGCTACTGCTATTCCCCAAGTCATGCACTTCATCTCCATTGCAGTGAGGTACATTTCTCCATATGCAACTCTTATTTCCACCCAGTTCAAATACAAAAAAAACTCTTATCTGATCTCTCCACCGTCTGTTTTTCTCTTCCCCCCATGTTTTAATATGGCCATTTTGGAAAGATATATCTACTGATGTTCACTCTCTGAATAATAAAGCTGACCACCCGCCCCCACTACCACATCTCACCAATAATAAGCCAGCCGTGACTGGAATCCTTTATTCTCTCGCTCTGTGCATGATGTGAAAAACATAATGCTTTGGGGAAAAAAACAAGGGTTTTACATCTTCCAGAGCTGCTGGGCTTTTGCTGTCGTTTATGTGGAAACTGTCTCTGATTATCTTATCTGATGGCTTCCTGCGCCTGACGCTGCAACTCTAGTTCTCTGTTTAATCTGCAAACTCCTACTTGCGCCTGTTAACATATAGTAGCACTGCCACACTACCCATCCATACAGTTGCGTCACCTGGTGTGCCACTGAAACAAAAGCTGTTCTGTGTCACTGTCATTCATGACAGCAGTAATGACTCATGGTTTCTGCTGAAAAAAGAAGGCGAAAAATTGCAGTGTGGTTGGTGTTGATTGCCATAACAGAGCCCAGAGCGTCTGTTCACAAAGGTGCGGCGTGAAATCACAAAGAGGACGCAAAGAATGTGAACTGAGCTTCTGCAGGCTCCCAACAGCTGCAGCGGCACACAGGCCTTTTATTGCGAGGCAGCGAGGGGAAACCTCACCACAACAAGAAGAGAAGAAGGGCGGGGAAGAGAGGAAAAGAAGTAGGGGGAGCAAAATAGAAAAAGAAAAAAAATCTAATCAAGGGACAGAAATAGTGCAGAACTTTACAGAGACAGATGAAGAAAAGAGAGGATGCATTCCTTGTCGAACGTTAGAGAACAAACACAACCCGGCTCGTGGCTATACCAAAGCGGCTTCCCCTTTTTTTGTGCTTTGGTCCAAAACCTTAAAGTCTTCACTTCAGACTTAGATAAGCAACACATTCTTACATTGGAGCTGCAAAAATTGCTGAAATTGTTTTTAAGAAATGAAAGTTAATAAATTGTCAATTCACTAAGGAGCTCATCTGAAAGAAGAGGGAAATATTTAGTTCATAATTAAATAATAAAATCTGAAAAATTCGACTAGAAGCAACTTAATAGAGTCAAAGTGCATTGAAACTGGTGTAGCTAGAGTAGAATAAGCAGGTGATCGATGGAGATTTTGGAGTTGATGTCCTGAACAACCTGGATCAGGTCGAGTTTCAATTGTCTCTCGATGCTTTTTATTATACCGTAAAGACTCTACAGTATTAGAAAGAAACCCCAACACAACAATCAAGTGCTCTGTTTATGTTCCCTTATTATTCAAGACCTTGCATGTCATTGAATTTTAAATTCAATTCTGGGCTTAACGGGGGAGCCAACATGGGAGAAATATGTGATCCAGAACTCTTTTTAGTCCCAGTCAGAGTTCTGGATCAACTGAAGGCTATTCTGGGAGCTTTTAGGACAGCCTGATAATAATGAATTAGAATAGTCCAGCCTAGAAGTGATGCATGCATAAACTAGCTTTTCAGCATCACTGTGACACGGGATGTTTCTAATTTTAGAGATGTCAAAGAGGAGGGTGCGTGACAGACAGCCTGAAAGGGGGAGTGAAAAAACACTAGAGAGAACAGGAGCAGGTCTATTATAGGAAAGAATAGTGACAAAAACGTTTGAATGAGATGACTTTGGCAGTGTGAAAATGAAACTGATGAAATAAAAAGATCCAAAACAGCACATATCAACAAGAACTTGAGAGAACAGAATTTCTTTATTCAATTTCTGTCGAAACCGTGATGTTTTTTTTCCCAAATCCAAAAGTCTGTAGCCACACTCCAAATGAGGTCCATCTCATCTATATGTTGATGCAGTTTGTAAGGGCCTCCGCTAAATAATGCATTTGTCTTTTTGCAAAACAGATGGGCATCATCTTTGGGAGACGGAAGCCAAAGTTGACAAGGACTCCATCAAATCAGTGAGTGCACCTTACCAGCATGATTTATTTGAAATGCTCGTGCCGTCTCCAGTCCCACCTTCCCGTGAGACTTTTTCTCCTTTTCCTCTCTCTGTCTTTTCCTCATCTGTCCCCTGTAATGATGTAACCTTTGCTAAGTTATTACAAATTGCAACATAGACAATGATGTTTAGCCGATGCAATCCTGAATGGAATTTTCACAAAATCTCCTTATCCTCTTGGAAGTAATTAGACGCAGGCTGTCATGTTGTTTTTGCATCTAATCCATGAAGATACACATGTATGGGTTACACACACACACACACACGCACACACACACACACACACACACACACACAATCCTCCTAGCATAGCCAGACGTTTAGTTCACAGTGAGGTTTGCTGAATTGGGCTCAAACACTTCATCTACGTTGAGACCGTGCAGCCAAGTGCAAATCGCACCCTACCTGCTGCCTTTCATGAGGGTGGTAATGAGAAAATAAACCAGTGTACTCGTTTAACTGACGCTCAGTCGGACTGTTAATGTAGAAGCAAGCGAAAAGGGAATCGTCAACAGAGGGAATGAGGCAAATGTTTTTCTATGTGTCACAGGGAGCTGCCTGAGCTCTGGACTTAATTAAGATTTCATCAAGGTTCATTAGGCCTGCTTTTTACTGTGGACAGAGTCAAGAACAGAACCTGTTTGCTTGTGCAGGATGACAGTATGTTTTGAAATGCCGATTCTTTTCATCAACTGTGTCAACCCACTGTAAACTAACTGAGGTGATTTACACTCGCACATAGTTAACTATCCCCAACTAAAGTCTGCAAGTCGGGATGTTTGTCGTTGGCTTGCCGCTGCTGTTTCGCTTGGGTAAATGACTCGGTTGCATCAGTAGGACAAATATGGAGTGTGGTGTCTAATTGCTCCGCAGGGCCGGCTGATGCGTGATGGCTAGAGTCCCGGATGCTGGAAAATTAGCAGTCAGCATTGATAAAACACAAATCTTACAGTGTGTTTGTAAATCTAATAAACAATTACTTAGAGACAGCGAGCGAGAACAGGCCCTCTTCTTATGCCAGCTGCGACTAGACTACTCTAAAGTGCTCCAGTCTGACTGCCTTCTCGACTGTGTTTTTATTGCCATTGAGAGTGTGCTAACTTTCACGGGGTTGGGAAGCGAGGGAAAGCGGCGCGCACGCACTTAACACCCTAAAGTCTGCCACCTGCATGTTTTTCTTTGTCATTATCTGGAGGGTAGACTGGTGCTGAGCTCACCTCCGACTTCCCCCCACCAACCCGTCCCTCCCACCTTCCTTCAAGTGCGGCAATGACCAACAGAAACCTGCTCTCTGTCGAAAAATGCCTCACTCTGAGCCTGTTTAGATCTAGAGGAGAGTCACAGCTGCCCCAGGATCATTTTTTTTTGCAATGTTCTCAATATATTTGCAAGTTCATATCCATACAGACTTGCTGTGGTGTATCGATGCAGAGGAGGCGAGCAGGCAAGCCAGCAAAGGCACGGCTGTACAAACAAATAAGCTGGCTGCCTCCCTCCTCTCGTGCAGTACAGGGACGATGCTAAAGCTCCTGGGTTTTCCTCAGAGACAAACACAGGCGCTGGACCAACCTCTTGAGCTCTCGTGCTGCATCTACACAGTCCAGACGTGCTCATTTAGACCTGCTCCCAGTCCAGCCTCTTGGAAACAGTATCCTGAATACTGGCCAACTGCAAAACAAACATAGCTGTTGATTAACCTCTTAATTCCCACAGGTGTACAGTCATTATAAACCCATGTTGTGTAGTCTTTCCAGTCTTTTGAATTTGCAGAACTTCCTTTGAAAATATCGTGGTGATCCCAAGCTTTCCAAAGATGCAAAAACGCCTCAGCCTAACTTTGAGACAAAGCAAGAAATAAAAAGTTTAAACTACAAAGCACAAAGTACTAAAAAGAAGTTGATTATTTAAGAGGAAGTGTGAAAATCAAAATGACGTCTCACATCTGAGTTTTTATTATCATATCATATTTCTGTTTTAGAACGCTCTTGTTGTGGAGATCCCGCCATATAGAAACCAGAGAATATCCAGCTCGGTGCAGGTTAACTTCTACGTCTGCAACGGCAAGAGGAAGAGGAGCCAGTCCCAGCGCTTTACCTACCTTCCTCCAAATGGTAATAATCATCCACCCACCCTTTCTATTACCAGTGACACTGCAACACTCCTATGCTTTGCACAAGCTGCACGCTTTGTGTTCTTTATTGCAACTGTGTGCCTTTTCACATCTTGACAGCCATTCGTCCTAAAGTGCTAGGTGAAATTTGTAGCCCCCCTTTTTTTTTTGTGAATGTTTTTGACGTTGTAAGTGGCAGCACTTGGCTGAAGCCTCTGAGCGAGTGCAGGAGGGGTGAAGTGTGTTTATTCTGCAGTGACAGCACGTTCCCCAGCCATGAGGTGCACCTACTGAGTGACAGAGCCTCCGAGCACTGTTGATGTAGAGGAGTCAATCTCCCAGCGACCTGACTTTCACACCCGGCCCCACACATTCTCTTCCAGCACACTTATGAATTGACAAAAAAACATCCACGCACACACACACACACACCCAGCCATAGCTTTGCCATATCATTCATGTAGCAACCTGAAAACCCAGAAATACCTCTGTTGTGTGTGTGTGTGGTGCGTGTGGGTGTGTGTGTGTGTGTGTGTGTGTGTGTGTGTGTGTGTGTGTGTGTGTGTGTGTGTTTATCACAAGCCTCAGTGTTTATAGATGGCTTTCACGTTGGAATTTGAAGAATGTATTGTTAAGAGTTAAAAAGTTCAGCCTCGAAATTACATTGCGAGCTATTTGCTCTTCACAGTAGGCACAGGTGAAATATCATCTTCAGTATCGCTTTCAAGCATCCCACGAGAATAGCATTATTTTATTGCACCGGTTTGCTCTTTCAAGCCGCAGCTTTCCAAATATGGTGCCATAGTAAGTCCTTTGCTTGTTGGTCTGCTGAGAAGCGGCACCGACGCAGTTAAGAGCTTTTCAAGACACCGGAGAACTCTTCTGCCTCTTTAAACAGGAGTTGCTGAAGGCAGACTTAGCAAATGCTGCAGCTCATTTGCTCGAGTCGGTTTTGGAATTCTAACCAGTAACCGTGCTTTTACAAGGCACGCATTCCCCTTGTGATAACCAGTGAAATCCATTAGATCAAAACAGTGGTATCTTGTTTTCATTGATCAGAGCCTAATGGGTCTAATGCTTCTGGGATAGCAGGCAAGCAATGTGTTTAAAGACCAGAGCTGTTAATAAGATGTGACATTTAGATTATCAGCAGATGCATTTATGGCCTCGGGAGATAAGTGATCAGGATTTTGGATGAGGCTCTGAGAACAAATAGAGCACAGCCCTATTTGGAGATGCCTGATAATATGATGAACAAGTGCATTGTGGGTAACCGGACAAGTGTGGGACAAGACAAACTGTGGCCATATATAGCTGCTCATCTGTTTCATATAGAAAGAGACAGAGAGAAAAGGAGATGCAAAGGCTTTTCAACATCCACGGCGCATCTCAAAGTCAGTTCTCTGAGCGTGCACGCAGCTCTAATTAAAAGATGGCTTGTTGTGTTCTTTCCTTTGCTGCCAAATAAACCACAAGTACAGCGTGGACCACACAAGCGGGGCCCATGTCTTGTCAAAGAAGTTTAATTAACTTACAAGTGTTACAGCCAAAGCGACCACGACAAGGGTTTTGAGTTCTATTTTCAGATACAGCATACGCATTAAAAAAGTACAGCTGATCATATGAAAAACAGAGACTCTGTTGGGAGATAGCAGGTGAAGCAGAACACAGAGCTTGAGTTCCATAGTTGTGATCTACCTGGTAAAAACTTTGGTTTTATTTTTTTGACCACAATGTTAAAATTATTGTAATTATCACAAACAGACTGTGCACAGTGATGATGACTGCAATAGTTTCACAGTTTCAATACTGCAGCAGAGAATGAGGAAACCCTAGTGAAGCTGTTTGCTTTTGAGGGTTTCAGTGTGTGTGTGTCAACAGTGAGTGAAACAACCAACACTGCGGCCATGTACTCGGGGTGGGCTGCGGAGGAGAACACCCACACACACGCATAGACACACATTGCTGTCGACACTTTTTTTACTTCTTCTTTTTTTTGCTCGCTCGTATGAAAAGACTCTTCCGGCCCTATGTCCCACTTCAAGCACAGTTGTGGTCTCTGACGTTGTTTAGAAAGAACATTTCTTTCACACTCTGCTGTCTGTTCATCTATAAAAAGCAAACCAAAACCTTAAAATAGCCCAACTTGTTTAAAACAGCGGAAGGATGAAGCAAACACTCTCTGGGACCCAGATGCTAGTGAAAACCACCTTTATTTTCCATTCAGGTCATGTGACCATCTTGTTATTCTTTGACACTAATGCATATGTGGTTGGCAATACTGCGGCTAAACATTGATACCTGCATTTGAAGAACAAAACACATCTGGAGGGGGGGGGATAATAAAACAAACAAACTGTTTGCTATATTTTGCCCCGCAAGTACACCAGACATATTATTTCAACAGGCATCATTATTTCAGCAGATCTGTATGTTCACTGCCTCTGTTGTTAATTAAGAAGTTTATATTAGGCCCGTCAGATGCAGTGGAAAGATAACAATAGATGGATGCTGTGGAATTTTGAGACATTGCCATGCTAATATAGTGCAAAAAAATGGACATGCTTTATATGTAAGTGAGGAAGAGGTAAATTGTGTATACAAAGCAGGAAACTGTTAGAGGAAGTGCCAAATACTGCAGTTCCTTTAGGCTGGCTGCTAAGGAAGGTAATAATTCAGTTCAGTTTAATTCAATATAGTTATACAGCGCCAAATCACAACACAACACAGTCATAGTCACAACAGTTGCCTCAAGGTGCTTTATATTGTAAGATAGGCCCTACAATAATACATACAGAGAGAAACCCAGCAATCATATGGCCCCCTATGAGCAAGCACTTTGGTGACAGTGGAAAGGAAAAACTCACTTTTAACAGGAAGAAACCTCCGGCAGAACCAGGCTCAGGGAGGGGCGGCTGTCTGCCGCAACCTGATGGGTCGGTAATACCAATAGACTTAAATTTTAGCAGAAATAGTGCAAAAACTGTTTTGGTCTGTATGTCTAATTCCTCATTTCTGACTATACGGGGCTGACTATACTGACTATACGGGCAAACGTGGCTCCTGGTCGTTGTGTCCTTGGGCAAGACACTTTACCCTCCCGCCTACTGGTGTTGGCCAGAGGGGCCGATGGCGCGATATGGCAGCCTCGCTTCTGTCAGTCTGCCCCAGGGCAGCTGTGGCTACAACTGTAGCTTGCCTCCACCAGTGTGTGAATGCGAGAGTGAATGGTATTGTAAAGCGCTTTGGGTGCCTTGAAAAACGCTATATAAATCCAATCCGTTATTATTATATAAAATTTATGTATCACATTATGTTAAGGCTTAAAGTTTCATTATTTGGGACAACTGTGACTGACATTTGGCTGCTGCCAGCTGGACTGTTAGCTGTCTGCTAGGCTAAACTGGACTTCTCTGTCCTGATTGTGGTGTTGCTCATATGACTTTCTGTGCACACAATTGCATCAACGGCATATCTAAGAAGTCTGCGTTCCAGTTTTGGTGAGTAAAATTTCAGTATATTATTTATATGCTTGTAGTTAGAAGGTATCTCAGGAGACACCCTTGATAACCAAACTTCATAGTATTAGTTGATAATTCAGCAACCAAACTACTAGTCCAAATATAGTCATGTTTTACATCAAAAGGCTATCCGGTCTTTAAGTGATGACGTGATGAATCCTGCTTCCGGGCCCAAACGACTCTGCGTTTAATAAGGCTGTTGTGCTTTTATCATGTTTTAATGCTTTGTATCTTGTTCTATTTAATCTCAACAAGCCCCTAAAAACAGTCAGTGATCACTGTCGGCCTCTCTCGGTTTTTGTTACCATTTTTTTAAACCTTACAATGTAATTACAGCTCAGCCCATGCAGCAGTATATTAATGACTAACCTCGTATTGTGGATGGATTATCTAAGTTGTTTTCCTGACTGAAGTTTGATCCGTTTACAGCATCCTGCCATGAGATTGTATTTGCACCTAACCATCGGGAACCCTCACCTAAACTTTTATTGAGTGGAAAAAAGTCCTCCGTTTGTTAGCGTTCATCCTCCAGCTTTACTGTTTATAATATGCTAACATAGATGTGTTGCTAGCGATCACGTAGCACATCATTATATACCAGCTAGCCCAACTTCAGTAACCCTACAAAACTCACTGCTGTTTAGTTTTCTGTCTTCATTTATGTTGGAAGTGATAGCAGAGCTGTACGTCTTAATTTGTTTCAGAAATCCCTCAGTCTGAACATGGTATATTATATTTAGATGGAAGCTAGCGAGCTAACTTATATTTAGATGGAAGCTAGCGAGCTAACTCCCTGCTAACTTCTAACTCCGTTAAATTTCTTCATGGATGCCTGGATGTTAAACTTAATTGTTACACCTGGTAGAGCAGCCACACTGATCATTTTATTACAGATTAAAGAATTTAGACAGTTTTTCAACTCTCAGTAATGCTGCAGTGATCGTTTGACTTGGAGACCTGCAGCAGTGTTTGGGCCCAGACATAGCTAATGACGTTAGACTTAAAGACCAGATAGCTATCTTTTATATGCAGTCTATGATATACACAAAGCAACCCCCGCCTGTGTCCAAGTGAATACAAGAACTTGACCTTTCCCTTTACAGAACAAAATAAAGATTATTTTTTAGAATCTTTAGAAAAAAAGAGTTATACCAGTTATGGAAAAAATGTTTCTCCATTGGGATGAACTGATTATGAGGTATAGGTGCATTTAGCCGATGAGTCGAGAAGACTGCTATTGTTTAAATATACCATCAGCAGCATTTGCGGTTGAAGCCTAAGTGCCTGTCTGTGATGATGAGATGTACATGCAGAACAACTGTCGTCTGGTTCCCAGAATGAGCTTCCCTTTTCCGAGCTCCCGTCCAATAATTCTTGCGTGTGTAGAGATGTGACGTGTTGCTCTTGAAATAAGAAACAGTTTTCACCAACCACATTAAACAACAAATGCTAAAAAAATGCTGGCAGTGACCAAAGCTCGGGCGAAGAACTTCTCGGAACCCCTTTATTTTTACAGGCCGTTTGGAGATTCCTCTGTAATATCAAGTTCTATTCTTAACGCAAATGGCTGCCTACTCTCCCCCACCATCACTGCATCAGTCTGTGGTTGGAGCTGGAGAGGGTAGAGCCAGAAACATGTTCTGTGACACATACAGGAAAAGTTAATGAACCACACGTTGATCTTTTGTTGTAAATATTTGCACAGTCATGTTTTTCTAAAGAAAAAAAAAATCTGGACAATGACTGAACTGTTTCTGTCAGGTCTGCAGCTTTGGGTGTTTTTACACTAACCTACAGTATACCAAAGCCCACGGTATGCTGTGTGTCCAGATTGCCTACACAGTGGGACACGGTGCACGAGGTACCTTTGAGTTAATGAACTACCACCTGCTCCATGTTAAATGTCACGGGAGATTCATGCCGATAGTATGAGGTGTGTCCAGAATTTCTTAAAATGTTTTTCACAGTGGCATAATAGTATCATATTTTACCAGTGGAAAAGAGTGTTAGAACCTAAAATACCTCTTGAATTTGCCCAGAAGTACAGATGCTCTTCTTTCGAAAGTGTTTTATAAAGCTCACATAAGCCTTGCTTGCTTTTTTTAATGAAATAAACAGATACAGACACACATCACTGTCCCTATTCCCATCAGAGGAAACAAGTGCTCAGCAAAATACCTAGATCATTCCTGATCAGTTCAATACAAGCAGACAGAAGGGAAAACTGCCAGAAATGGAGAGAAAACCATGTGCGGAGCCTCACCAGTCTGTGGGCCATAACCCACAGGTTGGGAGGAAATAGAAGCCAGCTGAAGTTGCACTGGGCCCGGTGAATCTGTTTTCTCAGTTCTCATATAAATTTGAAATGAGACACAGAGATGGACCAAGCTGGAGGAAACACGTCTGTTTATAAATCGAGGAGGGAGGAGTATGAATTTTGGAGAAAATGTTTGCAACTTTGGAGAACAGTTTGTTTTTGCTTAATGTAAAAAACAATGCTTAGAATTTCCTTTACTCTTAATGAACAGCCTTTTCCTACATAAGTCAAACATGTCAAACAGCCGTCCCATTATGCTGAATGCGAAATGAGGAATGGCGTTGCACCAGGCCCAAATGTGGATTCAAGGACAACTTGATTAGAACTTGGTTTTAAAAGGTCAAGGTCACGGTGAGCTTACAAAACACATGTTGGGCTATAACGCCAGACTTTATACACTAATTATGACACAATTTCGTAAAAATGTCTAATAGGATGAAAAGATAAAGCTGTAAAAACACTCTTTCTGGCAGCTGGTCAATGTCATAATCCAAGAATAGAAGACAGCGAGGTTGCAATTGCTGTATATGTCACATGTGCTCAGATACTTAAATAATGACAGCAATCTTTGGTGAAAGGCATCTGTACATGCAATAAATTACTCTGGACGTATGCAACTTTCATATATTGTAATTATTTTATTTTTTTCATTTAACTTTTGCAAGGAGACATTTGAAACAAGATATCAGTTTTCAGGATCCGTTAAGCGCGATGTTCTTTAAATATTTAACGGGACTTTTGTTTTTTTTGACTGATTTCATAAGGCAGAAGGCTAAATGTGTTTCAAATTAGAGGCAGCAATGCAGATCGGGACCCCAAGCTAAAATATGAAAATGGTCTCATTTTATGACATTTCCACTCTGATATCACACCCTCGGCTCCTTGGCACACTTCTGTCCATTCACACCAGAGAAAAAGGCACAGGAGACAAAGACAATCTGGAGGGAAGTAACTGTGGATGTTGTGTGAGCATGTGACTCACTTGTTATTCCCCAGGCCACGGAGAGGAGGCCTGTGCATCATGGGACTCGCCTCACCGTGCTGCCCCAGACACCAAGCCTGGTCTCTGGGCTCTGAAAGCAGACAAGGCTGACGTAAATGTGTTCCCTGCCGCGTTATCGCTGCTCTGTAGCTCGGCACCCCGGAGGCTACAGACGCGTTTGGTGCCTTTTCAGACCAAACTCTCACATACCTAGATGTCTTTTTTTTTGACACAGTAAGGGACAATTTGCCTTTTTTTCTGTCAGAGAAAGGTTCTATTATGTACAAAAATCATACACACAGACATCTTATTCATATTGACAGCTTCAAGTAAATGTCACTACGAAGTACATTTAGCCAAAAACTTTTAATGGCTGGCACCAAACAGTCACCACACCCATTAACACATTTTAACAATTGCTAGGAATAAACAGTATGTTCATTGTGACTCAGAAGCCTTTGCTGTGCATTTGGGTATCCTAACACGGGCCTATTACTTTTGTGCTGGCACAGCCTGTGCATGTGTACTTATATAATAACTCAGCAGTGAGCTTGTTAATATGGATCCCTCTCCGTCATTCAACCCGGTCCATAAACACGCCGCTGTTTATGAAGGCTTCGGATTGTGATTGAAATTTTCAATTAATAGAAAACCTTTCTTGACAGTGAAGAGGAAGTATGTGATACCTGTCAGTCAGAAGTAATCAGGAAACAACGCAGACAGTCTGCACTGGATTAGAAGTTAGAAGGGAGCAGGCAGGATGATCAAATGGGGTCACTGCACTCTCTGCATTAGCTGAGGTCTGAAGCTCCTGAAACCACAGGCACAGCTCTGCAACCTCTTAAGCAGCTCAGGCAGCCTAATCAAAATCAAATCATC